GTAGATGGGGACGGAGATGAGGATGGGGATGAAGATGAGGATGGGGACGGAGATGAGGATGGGGATGAAGATGAGGATGGGGACGGAGATGAGGATGGGGAAGGGGATGAAGATGAGGACTGCAGTGGGGGACGGGGATGAAGATGAGGACCGCAGTGGGGGACGGGGATGAAGATGAGGACCGCAGTGTGGGACGGGGATGAAGATGAGGATAGGGACGGGGATGAAGATGAGGGCCGCAGTGGGGGACGGGGATGAAGATGAGGATGGCGATGTAGATGGGGACGGAGATGAGGATGGGGATGAAGATGAGGGCCGCAGTGGGGGACGGGGATGAAGATGAGGATGGCGATGTAGATGGGGACGGAGATGAGGATGGGGATGAAGATGAGGATGGGGACGGAGATGAGGATGGGGATGAAGATGAGGATGGGGAAGGGGATGAAGATGAGGACTGCAGTGGGGGACAGGGATGAAGATGAGGTCCGCAGTGGGGGACGGGGATGAAGATGAGGATTGCAGTGGGGGACGGGGAGGAAGATGAGTATGGGGACGGAGATGAAGATGGGGACAGGGATGAAGATGAGGACTGCAGTGGGGGACAGGGTAGTTGTCTCCCCTCACAGGCAGAGCTTCCTGTCCTTGTCCTGATCCTCCTTCTGTGTCTCCTGCAGAGGGAGTCCAACGTCTCTGTGCTGGACGGCGTGGACGTCACTCAGACCAACATGTCCTTTTTCAGACAGCAGCTGACGCAGATCGCCACGCACATCCTGCGCTGCTCAGGTGAGCGCCGCCTCACGTCGCCCCCTGCTGTTGGACATCCTGTTCTGAATCCCAGGGGACTCATCTTTGTGTCCAGATGAGACATTTGGTCCCAGACTGCTGCAGATGTGCAACCAGGCGCTGTTTGAGTGTCTGGCCCTCAACCTGCACTGCCTGAGAGGAGACCAGCGAGCGCTGACCGCCGTCATCAACCACCGCATCGTGAGTACGCTATGGAGGACAGGGGGACGGCTTCTGTTGGGGGACACCATAGAGGACAGGGGGTTCTGGTAGGGGACACCATAGAGGACAGGG